TTTTTTTTTTTGGATTGTCATAATTTGGTGGGTGTGGAAATATTAGTGAGTAGAAATCACAATTTATTTATTTTATTTTGTTTGGGAAATTTTTGGAATTTAGTCATTCTATAGACCCATCTAAGAAATATATCTAGCTGTTGCAATTGGTGTGTCTGTCCTTTTTCCCTCAATATAGCTTAAAAAACATAGTGATTGCTTTTGGTAATTGGATAATTAGTTGTTAAAATAATGAGATGGTTACACTAGTGAACTTGGCATTTAATTTTTCTTGGTCACATTATCACCCATAGTAGTTGCTTTACATTAACAATTTGAGTATTTGACCTAACCACCCAAATATTACAATTTTTTTTTTTATATTTCTTAGTTCTTATAGTGATTAAAGTGGCAAATTGTGCTATCATATTTTTTTTTATCGTATTTTGGGTAGTTCCTTGGCGTGTCATGCACATTGGTGTAATTTCTCTACGTATGTAACCATATATTTCCTCATCGTAACGTATCATATTTTTGGTATGTATCGCTGTAAATGAGTCGAGTTCGAATCCTGACTATTTATCAAGTCTGACTAGGCTCGTTATGTAAACGAGTCAGAAACTGAACTCGAGCTCGGCTCATTTATCAATATGAACGAGCTAAGTTCGAGCCGATCTCGAGTTTTAATGAATCGAACTATATAAAATATATAAAAATTATCTTTTTGAGTCATAACGAGTCGAGTTATAGAAATATATAACAATGATTTCTTTTTTAATCTTAACGAGCCTTTTTCAGCCGAGCCAAACTCGTTGACGAAATAAGTGTTAATTCAAGCTCGTGCTCGACTCTTTTGTCAAAAGAGTCGAGTCAAACTCGAGCTGATCAGCTGAGTTTACGAGCGACTCGTTTCGTGTAAAAAACTCTAGTAAGTGTACATGGTAAAAGATTGTAATGAGCGCGTTTGGATGAGGACGAATGAGGAGTACAATACATTAAAACCACGTTTCTTTTAACTCTACCAATTATTATTGTGCCCACGTTTTGCCAAACAATTGCGTAATTATATCCGCACACGGAATAAAAGGATTCTATTATATAGTTGAACACGAATAATGTGACTCAGCCATGCTTATGAAAAATTTTATCCAATGATTTTGGGCACTATTTTAAT